AGGGTCGCGGGGGGCGCTGGAGCCTATCCCAGCTGTCATAGGGCGAGAGGCGGGGTACACCCTGGACAGGTCGCCAGTCTGTCACAGGGCCAACACACACAGACAACCATTCGCGCTCACATTCACTCCCGCATTTACACCTAGTGGCAATTTGGATTAATCGATTAACCTATCCCCACACACCGGATGTCTTTGGATGGTGGGAGGAAGCCAGAGTACCCGGAGGGAACCCACGCAAACACAGGAAGAACATGCAAACTCCACACAGAAAGACCCTGGCCTGACGGTGGAACTGAGGGTGAACTCAGGACCTTCTTGCTGTGCGGCAACAGTGCTAACCACCGTGCTGCATTATTATTATTATTATTGTATGAAACAGAACAGAGCTCACCTGAGTGTGTCCTGTGCCATCTGAAGGTTCTGGTTTCTCTCATGGTCTGGCAACTTGGAGAACTCCACCAGACAAGGATCATGTCTCTTATCTTCATCCCTCACCTGTTTGAGAGAGACGTTATTTTGCAAGGCAAGCAAAAACCATGTGGATTTCTTAAAAAGTAATCGTAATGATGATTCATTAGAGTGTCATTGAGCCTCATTTCCTTACGTTTTGCTTCAAAGGAGTCTTTCTTTGGAAACAAATCAGCTAACAGCATTACAGTCTTTTTGTACCTGACCATCTTAACAGAAATGTTCATTTTTTGCTTGCTTGTTTAAGACACTTCAAACTAACCGATGATTTATTCAACCATAAGAAAGCACCCAACTCAAAAGATAAACCATTGTTGTGGCAACACATAACAGAAAACTGAGCAATTTTAAATTGTAATTTTAGATACTTTGTTACTAGCAGCTGGTCACAAAAACACATCATTTGCTCAGATTTCTTTAGCTGACAAATGCCAAAGATAACACAGGCTGACAGGCATAAAATAGTATTTTCTGCACCAACAAGATAATTCCTAAAGAGCTATTAGTTGAAAATTTGGCATATCTAGGCATGATGTGCAATGTGCCCATAAATTGAGGAAACTGGACAAGTGAAGGGTAAAGAAAAATTGGCAAGCTTAAAAAAAATCTACAGAGGATGTCATGTCCTTCAGGTGATCCATCTGCTGTTTGCTGTTTGCTGAAGCCTCATCGGAAATGCTCTCAGCAGCTGTCAAGAAGCTATTGTTAAGGAAGGAAAATGTGGGGAAAAGCCCGAGGTATGCCAAATTGCACAAGAAATGGACAGAAAATCACTGATAGCAGGTTTTATGGAGTAATGAATCCAAATTCTGTTAGGATGCCACCACTCCTGCATGCACACAGCCCTGTCATAACAGAAGATCGCGACCAGAACATGGACCCAGCAGACTCAGTGTGGTATCGGCGACCCGCAGTTTCTGCCTTCCTCAAGGAGAGGGTGAGGCAGGAGACTAAGCATGCCTGGGAGCTCGAGTCACCCTTCTATGGGTCACGTTTGGCTTGGGGAGGGCCCCGCAGCCTCCAAACTGCCATGGCTACGGCTGAGCCGGCACCTATGCCTCGGTCTATAAGATTGAGCACATGGTCTTTATCTCCAATCACTACACCTTCGTCTCCACCCCCGCTTTTCCAGTCCGACAAGAGGGTTAAGCGGCGGAGGAAGAAGGATTACGTGACGCTGGACGTTAGACTCACTCCGCTGCCGTCCTTCGCTCTGTTTTTGGGTCTGCCACGTTCGGAGCTTCACAAACTCTCTGCTTCCTCATTGCAGCCCGGTCTTTTGGAGGATTCGCAGCCCAGTTTGCCAACTCCCACTTCCCGGAGAAAGCAACGCTCACACGGTCGCCACTCTGTCTCTGCGCAGCCACTCCCCGTGGTGAGTTATAATAACTGTTTTCATTCTGCTCCCTCTGAGCTGGATAGAGACAATCATGTGAACACTGTAAATTCTGAGACTGTTAAGACTGCTAGACGTGGTGGTGGTAGGAAGCTAAAAAACATTGTAGAGGAGTTTGTGTTTGCTGAGCCTGCTCCTTCGCCCCGTAGTGTTCCTGCTCCCAGGGCAGCTCGGGCCCAGCATTCCCCTGCACCTGTTTCAGTGGTTCAGGTGAGGGAGGCTGAGGTCTAGCTGGTCCCTGCTCCGGTGTCCAGGCCGGCTGAGGCTCTGCCTGTCGCTGCACCCGTACCGGCTCCTCGGGTGGGCACAGCAGCTGCCCAGCCGTTGACGGTGCCTGTCCCGGCTCCCAGGGTGAGGATGACCGTGAACCAGTTAGCTCTGGCACCCATACCTTCTCCTCGGATGGGAGAGGCTGGTGTCCGGCAGGCACCTGCACCTGTTTCTGACCTCGCTGGAGGCTCAGGTGAGCCCGTCCAGCAGTTTTCTTCAGGTTCTGGAGGCTCAGGGGAACTAGCTCAGCTTACTGCTAATCCACCACCTTACCCACCATTACTACCATCTTTACAACAGTCAATACAACTTAAAGTTCTATCCATAGCTCAAATATTAGCTCACCTATCAGCTCAGTCACCTGCTCAGTTACCTCCTCAGTCGTTTATTCAGCCGTCTGTTCCTGCTGGTGGTTCTGGAGAACCGCTCCAGCTGTCTTCCGTCTTCCGCCTCCGCTGGGGGGTCCGAGGGGCCCGCCCAATCTTCGTTGCCCGCAGCGCCACCCTCTGCGGCTCCCACACCGTCGCCTGCAGCGCCACTTCCTGCAGTTTCCACACTGCCGCCTGCAGTGCCGCCACCTGTTCCTCACCTCGTCCTGTCCGGCATGCACGTCCTCGTCCTGTCCGGCATGCACGTCCTCGTCCTTTCCGGCATGCACGTCCTCGTCCTGCCCGGCCTGCTCGTCCTCGTCCTGTCCGACATGCACGTCCTCATCCTGTCCGGCCACTTTCCAGGCCGATGGCATCGCCATCATGGACGCCCTCCTGAACGGTGTCGTTCTGAGCTGCCTTCCGCGCGGCCGGCCTCCAGACCTGCTCCGTCACGGTCGCTGGCTTTGCGGTCGGCCTCCAGAACTTTTTTTTTTTGGACTTTTGTGTTGTCGTCCCCCGGGCCAGCCCCCTGGACCTTTTCAAGACTGTTACCTGGGCCTCTGCGCCTTTCATGGATTTTTTTGTTTGTTTTCTTCTGGACTGTTCCTGGGCCTCAGTGCTGTTGTTTTGTTCTGTTTTAGACTTTTGTTCCCTGTGTTTTGGTTTCTGGCTCCTTGTGTTTCGTTTGTTTCAGCTGTGTTTCCCTCCTGCTACCCATTCCCTGATTGCTCCCTCTGTGTATTTAAGCCCTGTGTTTCTTTGTGTCCGTGTCGCGATCTACTCTTATCTAGCTGTGTGTTCTGTCTGCATAAGTTTACCTTGGAGTCTCAGTTTTGCTACTTTTTGGAGTTCAGCATTAAAGCTGTATTTAAGTTCACCTTTTATCTCCGAGTGTCTGCACTTTGGGTCCACCATTCCTGCCTGCACACAGCCCTGTCATAACAAATTTAAGCTATTTGGTTCAAATAATCATCCGTGTATATATGGAGAAGGCACAACAGTAAGTGTGAAACTGTTACATTTTGGGTCTGCATTTCAGCTAGTGGTGTTAGGGATCTTGTGAAAACTGATGGAATTATGAATGCAGAAGAGTGCCATCAGGTTTTGATCCACCATACAATACCATCTTTCAGCATGACAGTGATGCCAAACACACTCCCAGTGCAGTCATGGACTGGCCTCCCAAGAGCCTGGGCATCAGGCATCAATAATCATACCAGAGAAAAGAACAAAAGGCAGCCAACATCCAAAGTAGAGCTTTGAATGTCCTTCAAGAAGCTAGGATAACTTTTCCTAAAGACTACTTAAAGTAATTACAAGAAAGCTTGCCAAACAGAATTTAGGCTGTGTGGAAGAATAAAGGTCGTCACACCAAATACTGATTTTCAAGCTTATTAAAACTTTATATACTCTGTTTGCCTTACATACTTCACTCCATGGATATCTGTATGTTTCAATAAATCAGTGCATTTATTTTTCCGTTTCCTCTTTAAATATATGAAGAAATGAGGGGTGGCTCAAGACTTTTATACAATACTGCATATCAGTTATGCAATTTTATAAAATTATACATTTTGTGACTTTTCTTACTGGTCCATGTGTCCATCCGAGATCAATCTTGTCCATTACCCAGAGCTCATGGATATTCTCAGCCATTTTTTCTCGAATGTCCTCAAGTTGTGGAGGCAATACCACCTGTAGGGTAAAAGAACTGCATAAGTAGCTAAACTACTCTGAGATGGTGTCATTTCTCTGAGCAAATGATTCTCTACAAATTAGTTATAAAGACTTTAAGTATACAAACAGTTCGTCTTTGTAAAACAAGATTTACCTTACTGATGTCTATTGTTGTCGGAGTGAAGGTAACTGGAGTGACAGGCACTAAGGGGCCAATAAGCTCTTGTTTCCCTTCACCATGATCCAAAATGTATTCCTGACACAGCTGTACCTTCAGTCTGACTTTTGGGAGAAGAGCTTCAGAGCAAGAAGCATAACCTGGAGGTGGCAGGAAGCGAAACTCTCCATGCCTTCCCCCAAACAGAAAACGAACTCTTGTTTTGTTTTCCAAGAAAAGAGGAAGAGAAAATTTATTGTTTTGTGGATTTCTTGAAAAAAAATAAAAAATAAACATTAACCTCCCCCCCCACACACACACACACACACACAAAAAAGAAAAAAACAATAATAGTGTTGATACTAACTTTACTCCAGCAGAGAAGCTGACCACAGGATAAAGAAGTCCATTAGCGTTGAAGTTCTCAAACATGCCCTGCACAGGTAGACCATTGACCCGGAATGAGATGCAGGGAATGCTTAGGTCGAGGCAGCAGCTAACGACATCATCATCTTTTAGTAGGTGAGGGAACGGGGAGCTGACTTTCCGGCTCACACAGCCTAAGATTCAGGAGACACACTCATTAGTCTTCATATTTACATTTTTAATGTTTCTGTACAACTTAAAATGGGAATTCAAGTGCTTTGAGCTTTATTAAATGGAAACACTACAACTAAAGTCAAATCAAATGAATGTTTTATAGCATTCATAAATGTAAAACATATTGTAAAGATTAAGGAACTTTAGGAACACGCCTCACAGCAGAGCCATTCCTGATAATTAGAAACATCAATGATAATCTACTGCTGTCCACACTAAATAAGAATAAAGTGCAACGAGCCAGAAAATGTTGACACGTTTCATATTTTACACGAGATGTCTGTGTTGCACAAGCAAATCTTTATCAAAATACAAAGGTTTGATTTTTGTTTTTATTTTTTTGATGAAGTGCAATCATCACTACTGCGAATTGAGATTGTAATTGCCTCCACTGCTCTCTCTTTTCTGTCCATGTTAAACATGAAAGAAAAAAGTAATATGTTAATTGTTCTCTGTGGATAATTAAATGATGCTCAGCAATTGCAGTCACAGCTTTTATTGCACTAACTACAGACATTTCAATTATTCTGAACAAGGAAATTAAAAATTATCTATTATAATGCATTTTGTGCTTTAATTGCCATGGTAATCTTCCCATGTGTAGTTTTTGTGGCACTAAAGTAATGTGCTAAGACTTTCAAACTGACTTGTTATCATGTTTATAACAGCTACAGACTCTGATATTTGTCTTTGGAGTATGTGGAGTTTACTCGTCCTGTAAACTCTTGTGATCAGTGTTATACAATAATGTTAAACAGACCAAGCTGTTTATCAGCCGTTTGAGCTCATCCTCACCTGACCAGAGGTGAAGTCCATCAAAGCCATACGAGCAGAGGTCATCTCCCACTCCATTCCCCCCCCAGCCCTCGCCGCCTGTCGGCCTGGGCTGGTAGCCTTTCATGTAAGCCCAGCCGACACGCAGGTGTGTGGGCTCAGATGTGACAAAGGGTTTGACGTGATCCACAACCAGCTCGTAGTACCACCTGCGATACTGGGATGAATCTTCTCCCATAGCTAGGAAGATGTTTGGCCTCATGCTGTTGTCACATAATATGCAGAGAAATGTGGCAAAAAAGGCAAAAAGGACAGAGAAATTTCAGTCAACTCATCTTTTAAGATTTTAGTGTATTTGGTGTGATCATAAATGAATTTTGAAATAATTTACAATGCATATGAGTAGTCTGCTCACAAATAAAAGTGAAATTCATTCTGCGTTGATATGACAACTTAATTAGATACATGGTGCACCCATACAACTAATTTTTAAGCTGTGACACTCTTAATTAGCAAAGCTCAGTGTTTAAGACATTCAGGTAGTGGGCTTTTACTTTTAAGTACTGCTGATAGTCTGTAATTACAAGTTAACTTGGAGACAGTCAAACTTTGTGAACGTTAAGTTTGTGTCCACACTCTAAGCCACTAGGAAAACAGACTTCAGCATAACATTGCTATGTGCTCTCAGCCAGAAATTGTTTATGACATAAAACACTGTGTGAAATGTAAGTAAAAATAGGATGCAATGATATGCATGTGTCATAAACCCAGATTTTATTCACTATAGACCATGGGAGACAAATGTTTAAACTGAAACATTTTACTATTTCATGAAAAATATTAGCTCATTTTGAATTTGATGGCAGCAAAACATGTCAGAAAGGTTGGTACGGGACAATGAAAGGCTGGAAAAGTAAACAAGACTAAAAAGAAACAGCTGAAGAAATATTTTGCAACTAATTAAGTTCGTTGGAAACAGGTAAGTAAAACGAGTGGGCATAAAAAGAGCATCAGAGCATCAGTTTCTCAGTAGTAAAGATGAGCAGATGTTCACCAATCTGCCAAAACTTGTATCTACAAATTCTGGAACAATTTCAGAATAATGTTCTTCAAAATAAAATTGTGAAGATTTAGAATAGCCCATCATCTACAGTACATAATATTATCAAAAGACTGTCTAAACACAAAGGACAAAGCAAAAACTCAATATTGGATGGCTGTGCTCTTCAGCTGCATTGCATCATAACAGGCATAATTGTGATGTGGATATTTCAGCAAGACAATGCTAAGCCACATACTACATATGATGCAGCAACACGGCACCATCACTGGAGAGATTTGGTCCTCGTTGAAACAAAAATAAGTCTATCCAGGACTGCTGACCAGCTGGAATTGTATATGAAACAAGCAAGGGACAACATTCCTCATCCAAAATATCCAGCATCTGGTCTCCTCAACCCCCCTCAGATGTTTATTGACTATTGTTAAAAGAAGAGAAGGCGGTACTTAGTAGTAAACATATCCTTTTTAGATATGTTGATGTGTTGCCATCAAATTCAAAATGAACTTTTCTAAAACTGGTAAACTTTTCCAGTTTAAACATCTGAAATGTTTTCTGTGTTTTACTGTAAATAGAACCTAGAAAACATGCTCTATTGATCTGAGATTGCAAATCACTGCATTATGTTTTCATTAACAATTTACACAGTGGCCCAAGTTTTTTTTTCTAAGTTCAGCTGATTAAACTTTGGACTTAAATTTAGATTCATGTCAAATCAGTAAATCCAGCAAATGAACTTTAATTATGAATGGGACTCTCAAGCACCCAGCCATTAAAAAAAGCAGTGCACTGAAGTCAGTAAGCCACTTTTATTGTGTAAATAAAAACTTCATCAGCATTTGAAATACCAGCTAGTATACATGTTTTTAGTTTTACTCATAAAAGGCTGGATTGAGGCTAGATAAAATGCATGGAAAGAATAGATTAAAGGCAAAAATGTAAAAAGAAGAGAGCATCTGGGAGAACTGTCACACTGTGCTAGGTGAGGGAGAGAAGATGAAAGAAAATTGATGAGATAAAGGAAATCAGAATGAAAGCAGATGTACTAATGAAGCATTTATTGGAACAAGAAGTGATAGAATGAGAAATTGCTTTAGGAGGAAAGGAGAGCTGGGGCATGGACTGAGCAGGTGTGAAGAATATGAAACAAAATAAGCTATAAAGCCTGAGGAATAAAATGGGCTGCTGATGGAAAAAAAGCATGATAAAAGAAGGCAGCTGCTTACAGAGAAAGGGCAGATTGGGCAGAAAAAAACTTGCTCAAAGGAAAAGGGAAATGGAAACTGCCTACAAGATCAGATTGGCACAGCGGGTCAAAATATTGAGAGACAGAAGAAGAGCATGGACTATGATGAAACGGGCTAAAAAAATGCCTCCGTTGAGTCATACCACCTCGGGCTTAAGGTAATCTTTCCGAACTCTCACGAGACGAGGGTGAGACAAAGACATCTAAGCTCTGACATCAACATTATTGTTCCAATCTATTCAGATGTAAAAAAAAAAATAATGATGTAGCAATCGAAGAGATGATACTGGAGGAAAAAAGAAAGTATTTAATTAAATCCAAAAGAGAAAAAAAAACAAAAACGAATGTCACGCTGTAGAAAAATCTGAAATATTTCTGGTATCAAGGATGTGACATCTTTACAGATGAAAAACAAGAATATCAAGGCCCGTGGGAGTCAGAGCGCCACAGTTGACAAATAACACTCAGCTAAACAAATGCATGTGCGAGCATGAGAAGAGTCAGGGAAAGAAACCCCTATTGAGTTATTTGCCAAACATAAATACAGCATTGTGCAAAGGTTCTAGGCCACCCTCCCATTATTTCATATTTATTTCACTTTAAAATAATGGAAAAATAAGTGCACTGATTTATTAAAACATCTGCAAACATACATGGATATAAAGTATGCAAGGCAAAACGTTTGTATACTCCTAACGAGCTTGAATGTCAGCATTCTTCAGTGTAGCCTGAACTTTTTAACGCAACTTTCTTATAATTTCTTTAGGTAGTCTTCAGGAACAGCTCTCCAGGCTTCTTAAAGGACATTGAAAGCCCTTCTTTGGATGCTGGATGCTTTTTGTTCTGTTCTCTGTTGAGGTGATCCCTCACTGCTTCAATAATGTTAAGGTCTGGGTTCTGGGGACCCCAATCTATGATTGAAAGTGTTTCACAGTGGGTTTTTCTATCCAGGTGCTTTTGCAGAGTCTGGTTAAACAACTGGACTGAAAATGAATGAAAAAGCAGCCAATTTCCAAAGATATACTTGGAAAGACCTCCAGAAACCCTGGGGAGAAATTGCTGTCTCCTTTGAGGCAAAATATAAAGAAATGAGGGGTGGCTTTACTGTAAAACTGTAAAATTTACCTACTTAATATATTGTTCTTTGTTCTTTGCATCTGATTTTTATGTGTAGTGAAAAACAATAATCCAAAATCAGAGTTCTGTCTGAATGTAGAGAAATTCAGAAAACTTCAAAGCATGAGTAGAATGGCAAAAACACAAAAACAAAAAGCGGTCCTGTTTGGAAACCAGATTATAAAATTACCTGGTGACCTGATTAACGAGACGTGTTTGGAGTAGCAAATCTCTGTCTGGCAGCAGACTGTCACAGATGAGGTTCTGATTGGACCGCACCGCCACACCATGGCACACACACAGAGAACAAAGCACCTCCAGCACCTGGAACACAACCTGTCAGCTCTTCATGTGGCAATAGCTCAATAAGCAAATGGAAATGATCCGACATCAGGAAACAGATTGGAAACTGTTATTATAGCTGTTAAAAGTGAAACACTATGTCTATGTTACTAGACTGGTGAGAAATGTGGAATTTGCTTAAGCCTCATAAGGACAAATTCTGAGAGAAAACTAGGATAATAACAAAGGACTTTTTGTATTTATTTTAATTAATGCAGACATGCCACTGTAGCCAAAAAGCTTAATAATGAAATTACTGGCCATTCGGCATCACTTATTATCCATGCACTTTACTTCAATCTTATTTTTATATTGAATACACACAAAAGCCTTCTAAACACTACCCTGTCGTTGCATCCAAGCTTGTCCAGAAATGAGATGACAGACTGAATGTGTTGGTCCTTGATGGCATTGAGAGCTTCAGGGCTTTCCACAAGGACGCAGTGAAGAACCTCCAGGACTCCTGTAAATATAACTGCCCGTTATTGTGTGGATGATAACCTGCATTTACCTCTATGCTTCTATATTATTAGGTATAAATCCCAGACAACACACGATAACCAATGTCTAATATAATATAAATATATACTGTAAAATTTCAATCCACAATGGCTGATGAAGAAAACATAGCGCATCTCCCCCCCCCGAGGAGGGGTCTTGTGGTTTTCTCGTGTTCTTCTGCGCGTGTCGTGTGCCCGTGAGATTTTCGCACTTTTTGCGGTTTTTCCGGGGCGGAGCGGCTTTTGAGGGGAAAAAAACAAAAGAAACCAAAAATATTAACAAAAATATTAACAGACAATAAGATAATAAGAGGAACCCTAATAGATTAGGAGATATTTGTGGTATCTTCAAAAAATAAGTATGGTGCCATCTATACTACTCTCACCCAACAGCTCATAGAAATGGTTGACGATGGTCTCCCACTCCTCTCTTGTGTCACTCTGAACAGCCTCAGCAAAATGAGAAGCACTACTATACTGGTGTAGACGGTCAATACAATCTAAGACCAAATCTATCACACCCTGAGAAGAAAGGGAGGCACAGTTAGCGAAGCGTGAGGCATAGCACATGTAGGACTCATTCACACTTATCGATTTACCTCTTTTTGAAACATGTTCTGTCGATTCTTTAGCGCCGCCATGCTGTTCTGTTTAGCTTCATGGCCTAACCCCTCCAGTGGAGGCTGGAAATAGATGATCAGATCCTGCAGACTGCGTGTCACTGTCTCCACTGGCAGGCTGACAGATGGGATATTTACCTCTTGGTTAAAACCATCAAGTTTCCTAAAGGAAAAAAAAGTTTGTTTTTAGACTCTACCTACAAGTCTTCCAAATTGTCTTGTATTATAATTACTGCAACTATCACCAGCCAAACTTGTTTTATTCTCGATCGATGGAGTAAAGACAGAAGGTGTTATACTGGCCTATGAATTTATTTTTTTTTTTTTACAAATAAAAGACACAAAATTTGAAAGCCAAATGTGAGACAGACAGACAGACAGACAGTATCTGAGCCCCAAGTATTCTCATCCTCCAGATTTCTTGTAATTATGACATGGTAATTCAAAATTATCAGATAAGGTAAAAAACAGAGCAAAGCATTAGTTCCAGCAGCCCACAAAGTCAAGCTCAGCTGCAATCATTGCAGATCATCTGATCTCAGTGTCAGCCCACATCAGCTGATACCCATCTACACAGCTAACTTGTTGTGTCATAGAGGGCATGCTATTTAAGCTTCTTGAATCTGCCCAGCTCCTCCCTTGACGCTGTATCTGAGTTGACTGCTTTGTTTAGTTCTGGAGGGTCTTGCTGCTGCTCTTCCCACCTCCAGCTTTTCATGTGCGCATACACGAGGGCGGAGAGGTCCTATCAGAGCCACGCTGCCAAGACGATAACCTCACTAGTCTTCTGATTGTATGTATATATCATAAACATATCTACAAAGCTAATGCTGTAAACCAACGCTCAGTCGGACATGTAGTGTGACATTTAGCATTAAGCCAGCACTGCAGCTGTAAAAAAAAACTGTCGCTAAGTTATTCACAAATGACTGAAGGTCTTAATCTAGCATCCTGTACCTTACAAAGCAAGTGAAGAGGAGAACAGCACTCCGTATTAGTCTGGCAGTATGAGATTCTTCCCTCTGAGAACGAGACAGTGTCAGCCCGTCGTCCATATGCCCTTCACTGTGCAAAATTGCCTGAAAACACATCATTTGCAATTATATCCAACAGCTTCTTTTGCCAGATTCTTTAGTCCAACACTGTTGGTTAACTGCCAGTGATTGTCTTATTATAGTAATACTGAGCATACAAGTTCACCTTTCGCTGAGTTCCACCCATATGGGACTTGGCATCAGCAGCTTGGTATGTTAGCCAGAGCCCAGAGGCTACATGTTGAAGAAAACAAATGGAATCTCCATATTTGATCTCTGGGATTCCCATCCCATCAACATCAGTCTTTGTGTTGGTGTCAAGTTTCTCCTAAACACAAAAAATGCATTAAATATTCTTATTTTTCTAACTTTTCTCTTTTAATAAACACAAAAAACTCAAACAAATGACATTACAGTCTATATCTCTAAAGACTCAGAACACCACTTTAATGTCTGGTGTATTTCTTATATCACCCCTCACCTTTGATGATCGAAAGCAGAAGGAGGTTGTATTGATGTCAGCTTTGTCCCGATCAACCAGCTGCAGACCTTTCTCCTCTGTGAGACCCAGGTATCTTCCAGTAGTAACGTGGGACAGTCTAAATGGCTGGCCCCAGCATGTATGCCTACCACTCCAACTAGAAAACATCAAGAGAGGAAACTAGCACTCCACAACATTTAGTTATTCCTCATAACTGTCAAAATCCCTATTAGCATGCAGGGGACATGGGGAACTAAGTTCTGGGCCAATGACATCAAGTATGACTCTGGCAATTGTGCACACTCTTTCAGGCAAAAACAGAAATTCTGTGGCTGGTGGTGACCTGGTGCAACACGTACAACATTACCTCTCTATATACTGGTATTTTCTAGTAACAACTCGAAGCTCGAATAGAATAGCGCTTAAAAGCAACATATTTATTGATACTCAAAGCGAGCGGACGCCACATTCCCTGTACACTTACACAACTCGCAGAATCTCCAGCCTCCAGAGAGACCGGGCATGACCGGAGACTGATCCAATCTCATAATGCATTATCCTAGATTAAGAAAACAGACATAGTCAGAGGAGTAAAGGACGTTTCCGCGAGCTGACTTGGGAGGAGACTGGTCTTTTCGACTAACCTTTGAAGCTCCTCTCCATGCTCTGTAGAGGGAACAGTCAGACATGCATCACTATGGCTGTGGAGTAACCGAAGTGTTTCACCCCCCTTCAGGTATCCTAGAGTCAGCAAGACAAAAAAAACCATTTATTGCTTTGAAGTGGTTAGTAAAACATGCAACATTTCACAGAAGTAGCACAAAAGGTAATCTATATAACTGTCGTAAAAGCTCTAGCGACTGCTAACCTTAAGTTTGAATATTTGCAGCTTCTTTTTGACTGATCTTAAACGGAACTTTATAAAGAAACAGAGACATCACATGTTATTTAAACCCCTTCACACTAACATGTGGTCAAAGAGGTGAAGTGGTGAGTAAAACAGGCCTTGGGCTGCAAAACAATATATAACCATTAGGGAGACAGCAGGAACATTAGCACAGAGCAAAAACACACACACATAGATAGACGCACACACCACATAAGTGACCCTACATCCAGGGAAGACATCAGTGGTGATAGAGTCATTTCCATGCTATAGATAAAACCCCCTCCAGACATGTGAAGAATTCTCTCCAGGAAAGAGGAATCTTATAACCCAAGACTTGCCACAAAAGAGAAGACTTCAAAAGGGCAAAAACAGAGGGTTCACCATAAGGTGCAAAACAAGTCTCAAGATCAGAAAGGGAAAAAAAGATTTGCCACAAACACCCAAAAACATTTAGAGCAATGCTTGACCACCATTATTTGGATAAGTGATCAACCTGAAGTATGACGAGGGGAA